TGTGGCTGGCTCTCAACTGCCCTCTGAAATGAACTGGCAAGCCACTCAGTGAATCAATCACTACAAAGTCTCAAAGAAATGAAACCAGACTGACCACCTGGTATCAGCCTAGACACCGGAAAAGACAACGCAGAAACAGCCCCATCGACCCTGCAAAGTCCTCCTTACCAACGTCTGGGGTCTAGTGCCAAAATTGGTTGAGCTGTCTCATAGATGAGTCAAGCAACAGTTTGATATAGTCATGCTCATGGAATCATACCACACAGACAATGTCTCATACACTACTATCACCATCCCTGTATATGTCCTGTCCCACTATCAGGGTAGCCCTAGCAGAGGTCGCAGCACAGTGGCAGACAGTCAGGAAGGAGTTGCCCTGGGACTCCTCAAAATTGACTCCAGATTCCACAAAGTGTCACAGTTTCAAGTTAAACATGTACAAGAAAACTTCTGCTGATTACCACATATTGTCCATTCTCTGCTGATGAATTAGTACTTTCTGTGTTGAACATTTGGAGGATGCACTATGTGTGGCAAGGATGCAAAATGTACCCTGGATACGGGATTTCCACGTTCACTACCAACAGTGACTTGGCAGCACTACTGATCAAGCTGGTTAGGTCCTAAAGGACATAGGTGCTAGGTTGTGTCTGCAGGTAGGTGGGACAACAAGAAGGAAAAACATACTTAACCTCATCCTTACCTCATCCATGATGGTACTGGTAAGAGTGACAGCTGCACAGTCTTTGTGGAAAAGAAATCATGCCTTGACATTGAGAATAACCTCTATCATGTGTGGCACTATCACCGTGCTAAACGGGACAGACTTTGAGCTGACCTAGCAACTCAAGACTGGGCATCCAGAGGCACCGTGGGCCATCAACAGGAAAATTGTACTCCAGCGCAATCTGCAACCTCATGGCCTGACATATCCCCCACAAAAACATTACCACCAAGTCAAGGGATCAAACCTGGTTTAGTGGAGTGTGCATGAGGGCATGCCAGGAATAGCACCAGGCATACCTGAAAATGAGGTGTCAACCTGTTGAAGCTACAAGACAGGACTCTTGTATGCCAAACAGCAGAAGCAGCAAGTGATAGACAGAACTAAGCCAGCCCACAACCAACAGAGCAAATATAAGCTCTACAGTCCTGCCACATTCAGTGGTGGACAATTAAACAACTCACTGGAGGAGGAAGCTCTGCAAATATCAATGATGGAGCAACCTGCTGAGTTCCACTAGGGCCACACAGCTCCTGATCTCATCACAGCTTTGGTTAAAACATGAATTAAACAGCTGAATTTCAGAAGTGAGGTGAGACTGACAGCCTTTGACATCAAAGCTGCATTTGACCGAGTGTGGCATCAAGGAGCCCTAGCAAAACTAGAATCAATGGGTATCGGGGCATACTCTCTCCTGGCTGAAGTCATAGTTGTGGTTGTTGGAGGTCAGTCACCTCAGCCCTAAGATGTCTCTGCAAGAATTCCTCACAGTAGTGTCCTAGGCTCAACCATGTTCAACTGTTTCATCAATGACCTTCCCTCCATCATAAGCTCAGAAGTGGGCGTTATCATTGACCCGAAACTCAAATGGACTCATCACATAAACAACGTAGCTACAAGAGCAAGTCAGTGGCAAGTAATTCCCTCCCTAACAGCATTGTGGGTTAACTCACAACAGGTGGGCTGCAGCGATTCAAGAAGGCAGCTCACCACCACCTTCAATACAACAATCAGGGACGGGAAATAAATGCTGGCCAGCCAGCAATGCCCAAATGCCACACATGAATTAACACAAAAGAAAACAAGCCTGACACTGAGGCAGTGCTGCACTGTCAGAGATTCTGATTTTTGAATGTGATGTCAAACTGAGGTCAAATCTTCGATTTGATTTATTATTATCATGTGCCAAGATACGGTGTAAAATGTTGTTTTGCATGGTAACCAGACAAATCAATACATTACATAAGTACAATTAAACAACTCACTGGAGGAGGAAGCTCTGCAAATATCAATGATGGAGCAGCCCAACACAACAGCACCAAAGATAAGGCTGAACCATTTGCAGCAATCTTCAGCCAAGTGCTGTGTGGATGATGCATCTTGGCCTCCTCCAATCATCTCTTGCATTACAGATACCATCTTCTGCCAATTTGAATCAATAGAACGGCAATAGAACAAAACGTAGAAAACAGTGTTACAGCTACAGAGAATGTGCAGAAAAAGATCAACTTTAATATATGAGACGTCTGTTTAGAAGTCTGATAACAGTGGGGAAATAGCTACTCTTAAATCTGTTGGTGAAATCTGTCACATCTGCACTCTCAGGTGAACATAAAAGATCCTCTAGCACCAAGAACAGGGGAGTTAGCTCCGTTTCCTGGGCAATTTTCTGTGGGAGCTTGCCACACACAAATGGTATATTTCTTTCTTTACGACAGTAATTGCACTTGAAAAGTACTTCATTGGCTGCAAAGAGCTTTGAGATATCTGCTGGTTATGAACAGCATCATATTTCTCTTAATTTGCTGCTTAGTAGTTCTGATCACAACAAAGTCTACTCAGGCTTTAGAAAATCTAAATGTTCCTTTAACCTTCTAACCATCAGTTTATTATTCTGTATGAGATTTACTTTGAACCATCTTATAAATATGTAAATATAGAAACATCTTTTAACACTAACAGTTTTTATTTTAAAGAATCATATAGCTTAGAAGGAGGTCTCCAATAAAATAAAACAGATATATCACCAAATGCAAAAATGGATAAACTATATTTCTATTTCAATCTTTGTCATTTTATCTATATTTCTATATCCTTTATCCATCAACCTCCACATTAATTGGATTATCCTCCACCATTTGTGTTAACTCCAGTAAATGCCACAATCAAACATACACATTCACTTGGTTTTCAGCATTCAAAAGGAATTATTCCCTCTTGAACATCCTAGCCCAACTCTTTTGTCATCCCAAGCACTCACTTCCCTTCCTACAACATCTTCCCATGCAAGCAATTTCTCCAAAACTGCTCGTCTCTAAGAACTTAGGAGTATATCCTCGCCACCTAGCTTGAGACATACACTCTCCAGTTTCCATACTCTCCATAGAACATGAACATAAAAAATAGCAGTAGTCCATTAATTTTCTCAAACCTGCTCCACCATTCAGTAACATCATGGCTGATCTGATTGCGGCCTTAACTCCCCTTTAATATCTGCCAACCCCCACACATAACCTCGAATTCCCTTATAATTTACAAAAACAACTGCCTAATTCAGCATATGACAGTACAGTGGCTACCACTGCTGCATTTCAGCACTAGGGACTCAGGTTCGATTCCACCCTCAAGTAACTGTCTGTGTGGAGTTTGCACATTCTCCCTGTGTCTGTGTGGGATTCCACCAGGTACTCTGGTTTCCTCTCACAGTCCAAAGATGTGCAGGTTAGGTGGATTGGCCATGCTAAATAGCCCATAGTCTACAGTAATGTATCGGCTAAGTGGATTAGCCAAGGCAAATGCAGGGTTACAGAGATGGGGGGTGGTTCTGGGTGCAATGCTCTTCAGAGCGCTGTTGTGGACTCAATGAGCTGAATGGCCTGCTTCCATGCTGTAGGGATTCTATAAAAGACTGACTTTGTCAAACTCATCCCTTGTGAGTGAACCAGTGCGTCCAGTATGTATTTATTACTAGTACGTGCCTATCCTTTTCTCTCTCTCTTTTTCCCACAACTTCTCTCCCAACCTCCCACTGACACCCACTGTTTGTTTCTTTCTTTTACACTTCCTGTCTCTCTCTACCATATATCTATGTTTAACTCTAATTGTCTCAAGTTCTTTCTCCCCACATGCATGTTGGCTTTATTTTCCAAATTCTTTCACTAGTCTAGTCCCTCTTTCCTATATTCATTCATCCATCCCTATTCCTCCTTTGATATTCCTTCTCTTTCCTAATTTCTTCCCAGCTCTCTTACTATGCACCTCTCCTCTCAAACTGCTTCTCACTTGTCTGTGTTTCTTGATATCTTCCTGATTTCCTGCATCTGTATTCCCCTCTTTCCACATCTTGCTGAGTTACACTTCTTATCAAGCCTCGTGTCTCTGTCTCACTTTTCTCAAGTTTGTTTCTTCTTGGCATTTCTGCTTTGCTTTATTGCTTCCATTCTGAATTTTGTCCTTTACGTGATCACCACCCATCCGTCTCCCCTCAAACTCGTTTCACTATCTTCCTGTGACTCCTATGTTGGTCACTCTCCTCTGAAATTCACTCAACTGTTTATTTTCCTCCTCTTGTTCATTTATCTGTTGTTATCACGATCATTGTTTCTTTACCATCTCTTGCTTTCTCTCCGTTTCTCACCAAATTTGGCCTTTGTCTTTTCGCTCTTTGTCTTCATCTCGTTATTCTTTTTCTGTTTCTGTTCATCTAGCTCTTTGTTTTCTCTTTCCCCGATTGTCTCATTCAGTTTTGTTTACACATCTATCACGTTATATCCTTCTTTTCTTTCCAGTTTCTTTTTGATGACTTATTTATTCCCCTTACAATCCATTCTCTTGAATTACACTTTTAATTATTCCTTTGGGTTTTGTCTCTAACTTCCCCGTTGCAGGACGTTTTCCTTTACTCTCTGCTTTTTGTCGATCCCTTTGCCTGTTTGTTTTTTTCTTCATTTGTCCTTCCTTTATTTTGCCAATTTCCCCATTACCACCTCCGTCGGCTGTTTCTCCATCTCATCGTCACTTTCTCTCTCTCTCCGTTCTCTATTCTTCCTTGATCTGCCTCTACCCATCTTACTTTCTCTCCTCCCCTTTTCATACACTGTCCCTCTCAATCCTGGAAGCCGCCCCTAACCTGCTCGGAATAACGGGATCCGAGCCTAAGGCCTATTCCCGGCTTTGATTTGAGCTGCAGTCCGGGTGGGCCTGCAGGACTGAGCGGGCCGCGGGCCCCTGGTGACTGGGGAGTGCGGCGGCTCCGAAGCTGGAGCCCGGCTCTTACCTGCGGCCGGGATGAGAGAGAAGAGGAGGCAGTGGCGGCAGCGGTCCTTGCAGTAGGAGCTCGACGGCGAAGCTGAAACAACGCCAAAGGGTGCGGAGAGAGGTAGTTCAGCACTACCTTAAGGAGCCGAGGAAATCAAACGGACTGACCCCAGGAGACCGGCAGCGGAAAAACTGAGAACGGCGGAGGGGGAGAGGCAAATAGACAGACGTCAGCAGGGCAAAGAGAGAGAGAGACTCGGGAATAGAGAGATGCAGGGAGAGAGAGGAGTTACAGTAAAGGGAATGAGATAGGGAGGTGGGGGGAGATGTACAGGGAGAGGCGAAGAGACATGCAGGAAGTGAGAGAGATAGAGAGACGAGAGTGATACTGGGGAGAAGATACAAGCAGAAAAAGAAAGTATGGTGGAGGGAAAAAAGATACAAGGAGATGGAAAGAAAGAGTTATATAGGAAAGAGGTAAAGAGATAGTGAGAGGAAGATACAGGGAAGGCGAGAGATGTGAGGAGAGAGGAAGATGAAAAAGAGACTACGATAGAGGAAGAGAGATTCAGGGAGAAAAGAATAGTGCAATACAGGAACATTGATATAGAAAAAAAGTGTGATGGAGAGAGTGATATAGGGACGCATCGTGAGACTGAAGGGTTTCTAATGATGAAACGGTTAAAAATAGATTCCTCAGGATTCCTTGAAATCTAGTGGCTATCACCTCTTTACACATAATTTGGATATGAAATCCTGACGGATGCCGTAAGAGATTGCTAACTTTTGCACCGTTTACTGCATTATCTCATAGACTGCTTACTTTTCCCTCGTGGCCATGTAGGGCAAGTGATGTGAAGATATTGTCATGACTCATTGAGGTGATGCACAGGAAATCAAGCCTCACTATTTCAGGAATCATCATTCACGAAAAAAAATCAAACTATCCAAAGTCCCCAATTTATCTGACTGACAAATTCAAGTTAAAAACAAAACTCATCAGATGTCTTTAACGAGAAAACAGCTATTTATTGCAAAAAGATTGTTCTTATCTGATGGAATAAAAGAAACAAGAATTGCTCATGTAATCACACAATAATACATTTCTCTACTATGCTGTCTTGGACAGCTCTCCTGGTTAATGTCCTACGCAGCCTCAATTTCAACCTCAAAAGATTGCTGCTGATGCCCTAACTTATCTACATCCAGAACTTTCTTGGCTGTAATTGTGAAGGCACATTATACAACAATGATGCAGGAAATCCTGTCTGGGCTATGCAGCACTATCTCCCTGGAATGGTTCAGAGATCAAAAACTCATCAACAGGAGGGTTATTGTCAGTTCTATTATGGCATTGGTCGATGTGTGTGCAGGAGTATATCTTCATTCTGCATTAGTTTGAAGCTTTTTAAAGGTGTCCTGAGCCATGTTTGGAGAGGGTACCTTTTTTCTCCAAATAACTATCCCTGTGTGTCCCAAGAAAGTTAGAAGGAGGCAGGAACCTTTGAGTTCTCTAATATGAAAGAGTCATGGTAGCTGCCAGGATGTCTGGTGCAGACATCCAAATTTTTTCAACAATGGTCGCATATCATTTGAACATTCATGGAATGGAAGCCTTTTCTGTTCGCAAACAGGTTGCAATCTGAGTGCAGTCAAAGCACTTGTACCGGGGGAATTCAGTAATGGTGTGGAATTCCAGTAACCTAGCTGTCATTGCCACAGGGAAAGGATGTAAAGAGATATGCTTTGGAAGAATGACATCAGAGAATGCTGGATGATTGTTTGTCATACATACAAATGGTGTAGATGAGAATGTAGCGGGGAGGGGTGTGATAAATAAGTTTGCATTGACACAAGGATTGACCAGGTAGTTAACAGTGTGGAAGAAGGTCTAAGGTTACAGGAAAACATAAATGGTTTGGTCAGATGGGCAGATCAGTGGCAGGTGAAATTTAACCCTGATAAGTGTGAGATGATTTGGTTTGAAGGCAGTAACAAGACAAGGGAGTACAAAATGAACAGTAGGCCAGTAGAAGCTCAAAGAAACAAGGTATCTTGGGATGCTTGTCCAAAAATTCTTGAGGGTGGCAAGGTAGGTTAATAAGATAATTAAGCAATCGGCGCATAGTTTATAAATGCGGGGAAGTTATGTTGAAGCTGTACAGAACTTTAGTCAGGCCACAACTGGAGAACTGTATGCATTTCTGGTCACTGTACTACCGAAGGATGTGATTGCACTGGATGGGATGCAGAGGAGATTCATAGAACATAGAACAGTACAGCACAGGAATGGGCCCTTTGGTCCACGATGTTATGCCGAACATGACGCCAAATTAAACTAATCGCTTCTGCCTGCCTTTGGTCTATATCCCTCCATTCCTTGCATATTCACGTGTTTGTCTACAAGTCCCTTAAATGCCTCTATCTTATCTACATCCACCCTTGGCAGCATATTTCAGACTCCTACCACTCTCTGTGTAAAAGACTTGCCCCTCACATCTCCTTTGAACTTTCTCCCTCTCACCTTAAATGCATGCCTCCTAGTATTAGATATGTCAACTCTGGGAAAAAGATTCTGACAATCAATCTATCTATACATCTCATAATTTTATACACTTCTATCAAATCTCCCCTCAGCCTCCGCCGCTCCAGAGAAAACAACTTGAGTTTTTCTAGAGACAATAAAACTGCAGATGCTGGAATCCAAAGTAGACAAACAGGAGGCTGGAAGTACACAGCAAACCAGACAGCATCAGGAGGAAAGCAGAAGTCAATGTTTCAGGTATTACCCTTCTTCAGGACTGAATGTGGGGTTGGCGGGAGCTGCAGATAAAGAGAGGGTGAGGGGTTAGCAGAATGGTGGTGATAGGTGGGCAGCAGTAGTAGGTATGACCCAAGTTCGTTGATGGGAGGGACGAATCCGATTGGTAGCTGGAAGGGAGGGTCAGTAGGTGGAATGGAAGATTTTCTAGCCTGCCCTTGTGGCTCATACCCTCTAAACAAGGCAACATCCTGGTAAACTTCTTCTGCACCCTCTCCAAAGGCTCCACATTCTTCCTGTAGTGTGGCGACCAGAATTGAACACAATATTCTAAGTGTAGCCCAATCAAAGTCTTATAAAGCTGCTGTTATTAGACTGCTGAATGGACCTCTCTAACTTCAAGTAATGTTGATCTTGCTAATGTTAGTCTTGTTTTGCGCACCTCCTGTGCAGTTTTAACCTTGTATGCCTCACTCTGTCTAAGCACCCTATGATCTAAATGTCCTTGTTTGCAATAATCTGCCTGTACTGCTCGCAAAACAAAGCTTTTCATTGTGCTTAGTGACATGTGCCTACAATCAATCAAATCAAATCAACATGGCATTCTGACTCTTGTGCTCAATTCCCCAACCAATTAAGGCAAACATACAATACGCTTTCTTTACCACCTTTGCGAGGCCACTTTCAGGGAGCTATGGACTTGAATCCCAAGATCCCTCTGTACATCCAAACTCTTCATTAACTGTATACTTTTTCTTAATATTTGATCTCCCAAAGTGCAGCACCTCACACTTATCTGGATTAAACTCTATCTGCCATTTCTCCACCCATATCTGCAACTGACCTATATCTCGCTGTATCCTTTGACAACCATCTACACTATCCACAATTGCACCAATCTTTGTATCGTCTACAAACTTATTAACCCAGCCATCTACATTTTCATCCAGGATATTGCCTGGGATAGAGTGCTTTAGCTATGAAGAGAAGGTGGATAAGCATCCGACCAGCATCTACATCCAAAGGATCATTAGCTGCCATTTCTGCCACCTCCATAGGGTTTCCACCACCAGGCACATATTCACCTCCCCTCCCTTGTCAGCCTTCCACAAGGACTGTTCCCTCTGGGACACCCTGGTCCAGTTCTACTTCATTCCCAACAAACCCCCAACCAACAGCCCCACAAATCCTTCAGCTGCAACTGCAGAAGATGTAACACCTGCCCTGTTTACTTCCTCCATTCTCAGTATCCAAGGGCCCTTCCCAGTGAAGCAGAGATTTACCTGCATTTCACTCAATCTAGTCTACTGCATTCACTGCTCACAATAGGGTCTCCTCTACACTAAGGAAATGAAGCATAGACTCGGTGACTGCTTTGCAGAATGCCTACGTTCTGTCCGCAAAAAAAGACGCCCAACTTCCTGTTCCCTGCCACTTCAATGCACCACCATATTCCCTGGCCAGGGTCTCTGCCTCAGGCTTGATGCAGTGCTCCTAAGAAGCTCAGTGCAAGATGGAAGAACAGCACTTCATTTTCCACTTGTGAACTCTACAGCCTTCTGAACTCAAGATCGAGTTCAGGAATTCTATGTCCAGTTCTGTCGCCCAGTTGTAGGAAGGATATTTTGAGCTGGAGAGGGTTTAGAAGAGGTTTACCAGGATGTTGCCAGGTATAGAAGGTTTGAATTATAAAGAAAGGCTGGATAGGCTGGGACTTTTTTCACTCAAGCGTAGGAAGTTGAGAGGTGACCTTCTAGATGAGGGGTATAGATAGAGTTAATGGTAGGCTTCTTTTCACTAGGATGAGGGATTTGAACACTAGAGGGCACATTTTTAAGGTGAAAGGAGAGAGATTTAAAAATGACATAAGGGGCACATTTTTTGCACAGAGGGTGGTTCGTGTGTGAAATGAACTTCCTGAGGAAGTGGTGGATGTGGGTATAATTACAAAATGTAAAAGACATTTGGATAAGTACATGAATAGGAAAGGTTTAGAGGGATATGGGCCAGGAACAGGCAGATGGCACTAATTTAGTTTGGGATTATGTTGGGCATGGACTGGTTGGACCAAAGGGTCTGCTTCCGTGCTGTATGACTCTATACCTTTAGGGCTTGAGCACCTTCCCCAGTCTTTCTCCAACACACACACAAAGGCCTTGTTATCATGCGGTCTGCAATTACACACAACGAAAGCCACTAATAGTCCCCATTAGCAGCTATTCATTCTCCTAGGCTGACCGTAATCCACTCCATTGTCTGTCCAACTGTTTTTCTTTCTCTTTAGGCTCTGATCATCATTCCCACCAAACCCCACCCACTCACCACCCTATCTTCTACATTAAAAAACAACTTTTTTCCTAGCTACCATCACTTCTGAAGATGGATCACCGAACCCAAAATGTTAACTCTGATTTCTATCCACAGATGCTGCCAAACCTGCTGAGTTTTTCCAGCAATTTCTGTTTTTGTTTTGGTTGTGGATAAGCTCAGGTTATTTTCTATGGAGCGGAGCAGGTTGAGGGAGGAACCTGATAGAGTTGTATTACAAGGGTGAACAGGGTGGGTAGAAAGTAGTTATTCATCTTAGTTGAATAGTTAACAAGGGGGCACACTTTTAAGGTGAAAGGCAGGAGTTGTGAGGACACATCTTTTCATCCAGAGGGTGACAGAGGTCTGAAATGGATTTCCAGGGAGGGTAATAAGAGTCAGGACACTCATAGCCTTACAAAAAGTATTTGGATAAGCACCTGAAATGTCATAACATTCAAGGCTATGGGCTAAGTGCTGGAAAATGGGTCTAGTGTAGATTTAAAGTAGTTTTGGCAATACAGACCTAATGAGCAGAAGTGACTCTTCTTTATGATTCTATGAATTTATGGGTCAAGACCTTTGAGATGCCACACA